CCTGTAGTTCCAGCTACTCGGAAGGCTGAGGTGGAAGGATCGCCGGAGCCCAGCGGGTCGAGGCTGCGGTGGCCGGGAGCGGCTGCTGCACTCCAGTCTGGGCGACAGAGTGAGACTCCAACTCAAAAAAAAACCAAAAACCAAAAAACAAAAAACAAGCTTAGAACTTCTGGGGACTTTGGAAGGATACATTGTTAGAGAATCATCTTTTAAATTCTTCAAAGCCACGGGACAAACTCAATATCAATATTCTTACGTTCTTGATCCCTGTCGTTTCACATTTCCTTTTTGTGTCTTGCACAGATGTCCGATAGGTGTTTGATGCCTGTATATGTCCGTGTACTTTGTGTTATCTTGAAACTGTCTTGGGTCACAGTGTGCCTTAGAAGGCTTTAGGGAAAGACGATATTAAGATTCGGGTTGTAAGGTGGGTGTAGAGAAGAGGGTAATGAATAGGAGAGGAAGAATTAGACAAAAAGGCCATTGCTGTCTATAAATGAATAAGAAGATTTAAGAACTTTCAAAGCAAGTCGAATGTAAAACCTTACCCAAATTTCATAACATGCTTCTATCTCATTCTCCCTTTTTCATGAAGGTTGCATGTAATATGGAGTTTTTCTGAGAGAAGGTGGACCTCTGGTGGAAATAGGAAACTTGAGTGGTCAGGGAAGGATAGAATGCAGGTTTCTTAGGGAGTCTCTCCCCCCCCCAAGGTCTAGCATGTCTTTCTGAAGTGGAAGGAAGATTATATTGTACTCTTCCAGGAAGAGTTTTGCAGAGGTAGGTCTTGGGTTGGTGGGTGAGGGGACATGAGGCAATTAGTGGTAGTGGGAGTCACTCCTGGGAGATGAGATCTAAAACAGCCTCCAGGTTTGGCAAGAGACTTCGTGAGAATGGCACCAATGCATAAGCTTTGAATCCAGGCCAACACTGCTTTAAATCCCAGCACTGCAGTTTATGAGCTGTGTCCCTATGGGCAAGTGACTTTATCTCTTTAAGCCTTAGTTTCCTTGGCTCTAAAAGTGGGGTTACTAACAGTATTTGTCCCAAAAGACCATGCTGGTTAAGTGAGAGTAAGCATGTAAAATGCTTAGGGCAGTGCTTAGAACACAGTAAGCATTAGACAAATGTAAGCTCTAGGCATTGTTAGCCAGATATTGAAGACTAAAACTAGATGTCAGGTCAGACAGGTGAGATGATGATTCCATGTGTGACAGAATATCTTAAAGGCACCAGCAGCTCCAGTGGAAGGAATGGATTCTATTTCCCTGCTGTTCAATTCATTTCTTTTTAAGTCAGCGCATCATTTATTTAAACTAATTTCCCTTTTCTCCAAAGCGCAAAAGTGAGAAAGGAAACTTGGCCTATTTCTACTTGACCACTGTATTTATTTGGCTCCAGAGAGAGGGAGTATTATCATTAGGAAGAAATGTGTGTGTCAGAGATTGAGGAGGGGACTTGAGGCGGGAGGATGAGGCTTGCTGTGGACAGAAGAGGATAAATGAGACATAATAATTATAAAAGTTTCTGAAATTTTTTGCAGATATTGGAAAGTTAATGAAGTGCCTAAATTGTTAATTGGTCTGAAGCTCAGGAACTGTCATTTTGTAACTATGCAAAAGGGTTTCAGGAATATTTTATCTACTTACACTTAAAAACCCCATGTCATTGGGGGTGAATGAGGAGGAAACACCCATTCGATGAACGAGCATATCTAAACTGAATCACTCATTTGTTTTTTGTTTAAAGAGCTGGCATCCATCTGAATTACTCCTAGTGAGCTTACTCTGTCCTGGGGTCCTTAATTTAATAACAAAGGATTTCATCTTAATAGTAACTTTTTAGGGCTTTGTAGAAGACCTTGGAGTCTTTGAAGGAGATTGGAATTGCAGAAAAGGGCCCAAGAGATCCTATGAGAGCCAGGCCTAACTGTTGACGTGAAGAGTTCTTGCCCCTAGATTTGTTGTTTTAGGACACCTCAGACCTCTCTGAAGTCTTCCACAACTCCCTTGAGGTTCTTTAGCTTTGCTTTGAAGGAACATTATAATTGGTATTAGCCTAATTGTACTGATCTATGTGGTAAATGAGGAGAAAATTTAGAGAGTGATCATATTTGAATAATCTTTAAATGAACATCTGTATTTTGAGAAAAAAATTATATGCCACTTAAAATTGCAATTTTTCAAAGTTAAAACTGTGTTTCTCTGCAATTGAAATATTAATAGAGTGCTGGTAGTCAGTGTTCTTTCCAATCTCTGAAATAATATTATTGTTTTAAAACAACCACCACCAAGGGGTTGATGATTATGCAGCTTAAAATTATGTGACTGTTGTGATCATTGTTAACTTTCATACCAAATGTGTTATTCCTCTAGCAATTTTTTAAAATCATTTTTTAATTTTAAATATGTGGGGTACAATTCAGGGTTCCTCTAACAATTTTTGACAATAAGTGGGTTTACTACGTATACGTAATTCCTGTTCTTCCAGTTTTGTACTGCATATGACATCATTCCAACAACAAAAAGGCATTCATTGAGATTTCTGTAATTTAAATGAATTTTAGCATTTACAGGTGACCAACCATCTCAGTTTGCCTGGGACTCTCCAGTTTAAGTCCTAAAATTCTCACATCTGAGGTAACCCCTTATTCTTGGGTATACCAAGAATGAAACTAACATTAATAGGTTCATGATACTGGTACAATTTTAGTGGAGTTACAACCTTGCAGATATATTGCCAAAGTGTTTTATGCCTGACAAGATAAAGGGTCCTATTTCTACTTGTAGAGACCTTGACAGTCCCAACAAATCCTACTTTTTTTATTTTGTACACCAAAAGCTGAGCTATTTGCCCTTTGGGGACAGGGATCGTATGGCCAGCTCCTGGCCCAGGGTCTACACCGTGTAGCAGGTACTCAATACACATTTTTTGAATAAATGAACTGAATCAATAAATGAATGACTTTATGTAGCTGAATCACATCATATCATGAACATTTTCTTCATATCATCAAAAAGTCTTTGAAAGTATAATTGCTTTACGGCTGCATAATTCCACTAGCCTTCTGTTGGTGAGAAATAAGAACTTTATGTCTTATTTGCTATACATATGATAAACAGTTTAGAAATGCTACAGATCTATAGGTATAAATATAATTCTATAGGTATAAATATAATGCTATAGCATTTCTATATAATCCTATAGCTCTATAGGTACAAATGACACTTTTGGATTATCAATTTAATATATTCAACTTTTTCTATTTTCATTACTACTTAGCCAGCCAAACTTTACTGAAAAATAAAAGGATATTTGTTTTCTTCACTCTTGTAAAGATTTTAGTTGTAAGAGAATTTTAGCATTAAGTTTTTGTTTTTAATTGTTTGCTCTCTATTCTGATTTCTCTTTTGTCTATATAACAATAGCTAGCATAAACTAAGTACTCACTCTGTGCCAGGCATTATATCTGTAATCTTTCTTATATTCACAGAGGCAGCACAGTGTAATGGTTAAGAGCCAGCGCTCTTGATTTGGGCTACCAAGGTTTATAGTCTGGCTCAACACATTGCGTGAATTTGAGCAAGTTACTTAAGCTCTTTGTGCCTGTAATAGTTTAAAGAGGTATGTATGTGATTAGAATATAGCAAGCATTCACTAAATATTAACGT